ATATCTTTCCATTTCTTTGTATCATTTTCAGATTCCTTCATGAGTATTTTATAGTTTTCAGAGTATAGGTCTTTCACTTACTTAGTAAAGTTTGTCTAGGTATTTTATTCTTTTTTATGTGATTTTAAATGAGGTGTTTTTACTTTCTGATAGTTTGTTATTAGTGTTTAGAAAAGCAAGAGTTTTGTGTATTAATCTTACACCCTGCAGCTTTCCTCAATTCATTTATTAGTTCCAGTAGTTTTTTGGTGGAGACTAGGGTTTTCTATATATAGTGTCATGTCGTCTGCAAATAGGGACAGTTTTACCACCCCCCTTCCAATTTGGATGCCTTTTACTTCCGTTTCTTTTCTGATTGCTGTGGCCAAGACTTCCAATTCTGTGTTAAATAGAAGTGAAGAAAGTGGGCATCCTTGCCTTGTTTCTGATTTTAGAGGAAAGGACGTTAGCTGTGGATTTGTCATAAATGGCCTTTATTATGTTGACATATGTTCCCTGTTTATCAACTTTGATCAGAGTTATTATCAATGAATGACTTAAATTTTGTCAGGTGCTTTTTCTGTGTCCATTGAAATGTGATTTTATCCTTTTGTTAATGTGGTGTATCACATAGATGGATTTGCGAACACTGAACTATCCTTGCATCCCTGGAACAAATCTCACTTGGCCATAGTGTATGATTCTTTTTATATATTGTTGGATTCAGTTTGCTAATATTTCATTGAGGGTTGTTACATTTGTATTCATCAGAGCTGTTGGCTTGTGATTTTCTTTTTTTGTAGTGTCTTTACTAGGTGTTGGTACCAGGGTAGTGGTGGCCTTATAGAATGAATTTGAGTGTTCAGTCTTCAGTCTTTTGGAATAGTTTGAGGAGAGGTATTAGCTCTTTTTCACATGTTTAGTAGAATTCCCCTGTGAAGCTGTCCTGTCCTGGACTTTCGTTTGCTGGGAGTTTTTTAAATTACAAATTCAGTTTCACTGTTAATAATTGGTCTGCTCAGATTGTCTATTTGATTTAGTATTGGCAGGTCGTATGTTTCTAGAAATTTGTCTGTTTTTTCTAGGTTGTCTCTCTGTGGTATTGCTTGTTATTTCTCCTCTTTCACTTCTTATTTTATTTGGGTCCTCTCTTTTTTCTTCTTGAGCCTGGCTAAAGGTTTGTCAATGTTATCTTCTCAAAAAAACCAGCTCTTGGTTTCATTTATCTTTTATTTTGTTTTATTTGTTTCCTGTCTGATCTTTATTATTTCCTTCCACCTGCTGATTTTGGGCTTTGTTCTTTTTCTAATTCCTTTAGGTAAGAGGTTAGGTTGTTTGTTTGAAATTTTTCTTGTTTCTTGAGGTAGGCCTTATACTGCTATAAACTCCAATAATCATTATTAAATTTCCAAATCTGGAAATGGGTTTGAGGGGTGGGAAGAGACTTAAACCTGACATGTACTTAAAACATCAGAGTAAATGCAGACAACCTAGGAGGAATAATTTTCTAAATTGAGCTAATTCTCTTATTTCCCGGTAAGTGTCAAGATTTTGTTCTGTAAGTTCTCACTTTTTGGTTCACAGAACTTTTATATTAATACCAGATATATGGACTTTCTAAAGAATTGTTACATTAGCAACACAAATTTATAAGTTAGATTAAAGGAAAAGAATATTAGCCATATGTCTTGAATTTATAGCATAACTGTTTTGGGGGTTTATTGGCAGAATGATGAATGCTTGCTTTATATTGTTTCTTTTGCTTAACTGGGAACAGGACCAGCATTGTGTGTCTTACCCTAAAGTAAAGGAAGATGGAGGCCTTATTTTTCAGGTGCTGCCCAGCTTTGGACCATTCCTAGCCACCCTTATTCTATTTCCATATTTATTTTCTTCTTTTGAGAACTTGGTTGGAAAACTTTTGGAAGATGAAAATGCCCATAGTTGGCCCTTCCCAATTCTTAATACTTTTTATGGTTAAGGGGGAGGAGTCCGGCAGTGCTTCTTAAACCTAGAAATTTTACTTTGATTCTATGTATTTAGCTTGTTTAAGTCTTCTGGCAGTTGCAATAGTTGAATATTTGATGGCAGTTTCTGAAAAATTTACAGTTATAAATTATTACAAACTTTCATTCCAAAAAATGAGACCTGAGATAATTACCTCAAATTTTGTATAAAATTGTAATAATGAATTGTTTTTTATTTTAGTCAGTTAAAAAAAAAATCTGTGTTCTTAAATATAGCATTAGTTCCATTTACAAATACTATTTCCAAAAGAGTTTTCTTACCAAGGCTTGGGAAAATAACACAACCAAATAAAATTTTCTTTGGAAACCTCTACTAGAGATAGGCTCACATTTTCTCATGGAAAAGTATGGTGATATTTCTGGAAATACATTTTATTATCAAGCTTCTTTGAGGATATTTACAAAAAGTGGGATGTAACAAAAAATAAAAATGTACTAAACATTGCATTATAGACTACTTTGTACATTATCAAATGTTTCTAACAATAATTCTTATACAAATAGAACATGACTTCAAGACAAAAAAAGGTTATGCAGGTTATACAGTAACTGGAGAAATTATTCAACTCCAAATTATCTGACAGTGCTTTTACAATTTTTTTTTTTAAAGAAAACTCAGGCATTCAACAACAAAAACAAAAAGAGTGCAATTAATTTCATGGCTTGTAAAGTTTGATTATATAAGTATAGCAAACAGACATCATTCCAGTTAATTTTCATCTTATGCAGTAAAACCACAACAGGGTGCCTAATGACTCAGAATTACTTTGTTTTAGCATACTGATATAAATAGTTATTATTTTGGAGAAATTTGGAGAAGTCATCCTCTGTCACAAGGAAAATAATACATCTCCAAAAATTTTAAATTCCTATATGAGAATGAAATACTGAGAGACATTGTGGAATGTCACCTAGAGATATGTAGGGGTAGGCAGTATAGCAGAATGGTTATCAGGGTCGTAAGAGGGACTCTGGAGCTACAATGCCCGGGTTCAAATCCACATCCCAACTGCACCTTCAGCAGCTGGTTACATAATCTCCCTGTGCCTCCATTTCCTTATCTGAGAGATAGGGTTCATAATGCACTTACCTCATGGCTGTTGTGAGGTAAATTAAAACGTATAAGACGCTCACAAAGGAGCACTGCATGTTTGCTTGTGTTCTCTCAAGTTATGTTTTTCTTCCTAGATGGGGAGTAGTTTCAAGGCTCTCTAGAGGCCATCTCAGTCTTAGTCTGTTGACAAGAAGAGCATTCCTTTCCTTTGCTAGCTCCAATTCAGTGGGCAGTGACAAGTTAACAGTTTTATAATTTTTAGTTTATTGAATATGTTCATAAATACCTGATCTTCACAACCAAATGTGAAGAAGGTAGAGGCAAGAATTACAGTCTTCATCATACAGACTGAGGAACTCGAGGCTCAGACAGACCGTCACTTGCCCAGGCCAATGCAGCCAGTAAGGAATGGAGCCAGATTTTTCGACTCCACATCTTTTGCTCTTTTTGGAGGGGGAAAAATAGTTTACAATGATTAACAAGGAATGAAGAAGTAAAAGACTACTAGGTTTTTTATAAGTGGATAGTCCCAGATCTTTACCTTTTTTTATGGGAGAGGAGAATTATTAGTAACATTTTAAAAACTATGAAAAAGTCTAATACTATATCTGGGTTAAAAAAAAAGATTCTTTCGCTGGCTGCTGGAGTTGAAATGTTAAAGAAACCCAAAAACTTATTCTTCTATTTGCTCAGCTGATAATATAGCCCTTTCTTATAAACTGTTCCATGTTTCAGCCCAACCATGCCCTCAAACTGCTTAATGTTTTTATCAAATATCTATAAAGCTTTCCAAGCTTTTCTAAGCTGTAAGCTAAGGGAAGAAAGGATACTGTTTGCTGTTCTTTTCTAGAGCATTAACTGACTCTGCACTGGCCTTACTTTTAGCATGTATTTAATTTTCTTCCTCAAGTTATTCAACCCCGTGTACAGATAAATTGTGTACTTAAGAGTTCAGATCTAGACCCACTGAATGTTGGAATCCCATTGTGGCATCACAGCGGCATCAGTGGGATGTGAGTCTTTAGCAGCAGAGTTGAGCTATAAGAAAGCATACAAGACAACTCAGCACTTAGACCAGCAGTTCCTACTCCTGGTTTTGTACAATCAGTTGTCCCAAATTATCTTAGAGACTGTTGCAACATACAAAAAGATGACAACTTAGTTTTTATGTTGTGAAGAACATATTCAGAATTCCAACTCCAAAAAGGTTAAGGATCACTGTTTTGGTAAAAGAAGGTAAAGCAGTCCAGCACTCCTGTTCTAGGTGTCTAGGAAAATCCCCTCGATGCTTCCATGGTCAGTTAAACAAATGTTTAAAGTCCTTATAGGAAATGGCATGCTGGCAGCCTCTCAGTTATCGTGTAAATGCAAATGTGTTTAATAACCAACCTGCAACTCTTGTATGATCTGGTCAAGCTATGCAATAACTGGACTCCAGCCTGCCTTTTCCTCCTTTAAAAACATACAAGAACAGGAAAGGGAAGATAAATTAAGTGCCACTATTGTACTAAAGTGAAGGATTAGGAAAAAATACAAAAACCAGTTATTGCTGATGCTATAAAAATTTATGAAAAGCTTCACCTTGGGTTCCATTATGTGTTTTTATTACTCAGACTCCCCTCTTGTACCCGCTCATTATAAACTACAGTATTGGTGTCACTAATTCTTTACCATATCTCCTCATGTCTTTGCATCCTTTCAGATGACAACCTACGGAGAACAAAAGTTGTGCAGGAAGTATCAGTCCATAACATGAAATCCTTCCTTGCTGAAGTTAGCTCACTGATAACTAAGGATCTTCTTCCATGTCATCTGGATTGGGAGCCATAATGAAGTGCTTTGGGTATACAAGGTTGTGTGTGTATGCATGGATTTCCCAGCGGGCATCATCACTTTCATGTGTAATGTAACGTTCACCAATGCGAGTTTCAAATTCTCTAAGATCAAGCCAAGTCTGATAGTCCTAGAAAAAAAATTGAAGTGATTATGAACCATAAAAGAAACAAGTTACTGTCAACCTTTTTTTTTTTTGCTCAGCACCCTAGTCATATAATTGGCAGCCCCTCCTCCTAAGCACTTGTTATACAATAAGTTCTATTTTGTAATATTTTAAATTATCAATGTTAAGTTAAAGATAAATGCTTTTTCAAATTTAGAGTCTCATGAAGAAAGTAGCTAGTTTATAAAACTTAAAAAGTTGCCTTAGGCTTCTGAGGTGGCTAATAACAACCACTAAAATATTTTGTTCTATATAATGAGAGGCCTATGCCTTACTCCTAAAAATAGGGGAAAATGATTAGAATCTATCATCAGGATAATGTAATAAATGCTGAGACAAATCATGATTACATCTGTTTTGAAGTTACTTCTACTACTCCCTTTAAAAGAGCTCTGAAGCTTTTCACTTTACTCTGACGTTTGGGTTATGTTTTTGACAAAACTATGCAATAGCTTTTGGGGGGATTAAGTCGAACATTTAAAATGGTGTATCTGATCTCGTCAATGCAAATATAAACCTTTCAGTTGACATTTTCAGAGTAAAATATATTTGACAGCATAATGTGTCATGCTCATCTTACAAAGGGTGAAATGAAGACCTAAGGCCCAGTACAGGGCTAAACCACTGCTTTTGTTCATGGATGTTTAACTGCCTGTCGGAGTTCTGCATCTGAATGGTACACTGCAAAACACAGGTTCAGCCACAGGACACATCAGTCACCAAAGGACACTTACATTATCCTGAGATGTGTAGAATCTGCTGCTCTTACGAGTAGTTTCATTAAGTAAGACAAATCACAATGAACTGCTCAAATGAGGATCACCAAAGAGACACACTGCTTTACCTGTAGCCAGGGATGACTAAGAGATTTGTCCACGCTGTAACGTTTTCTCATCTTCACTTGAAGTAGGTTGTTTATCAAATCAATTGCTAAAGGAAAAGACAAAATGAGGTACATGAATTTGAGTCTGTGGTGTACCCCAAACCTGCAACTCTGCCTGGAAGGCAGCTCAGTCCATAGAAATAAACGGTTGAGGTATTTTGCTTCTCAAACACATGGCCTTTACGCTAACATGTTAATGATCCATAAATGTTTACTGAATTTGCTGTGGATCTGGTTTATTAAGAAGGCAGTAGAGTACAGGTTAAAAGTACAGACTGGAGCCAGCCTGCCTGAGCCAAAGGTTTTCTGCCACTTACTGTGTGTGACATGAGGTCAGTTACTAACCAATACTGTGCCTCAGTTTCCTCATCTGTTAAATGAGGTTGTTGACAAGATGAAATAAATTTAATACATGTAAAAGGCTTAGAACTGTGCTTATCAGCACATAGGTACTAAGTATTAACTGTTGTTTTTCAAGATGAGTAAACACACTCTGATTACAGGCTGGGTTTTTTGTTTGTTTTTTCCCTCTCCAGTGATGCCTTGCTTCTACAGATGTGGTTAGAGTGAGGTGATAACTTATTAACAAAAGTTCATACTCAACAGGTTTTGACAAATAAGTTCACAGTGTTTTGGTGTATGTGGTGAGATCTTGGCATATATATTTTATCCAGTTATTTGGAGATACAGACCAACCGCAAAACCAAAGGAACAATGTTAACTACTACACACTGACAACAGCGCCATGTAACAATACATTTGAAATACTGATACTAAGGCCTGGACCCAGGGATGAGCCGAATGAAAGACATACTACACCAGTTATGTTTCTCTTCTGTATACCACCGAATTAGCGAAGATTTTCCATGAGCATTTTAATTATGAATTCTCTGTATTCCAAATACTTCAAACTTTTACCCATTGTTCCCTAAGTGGCAGTCCACATGTGCACCAGAATCATTTAGTGTATTTATTAAAATGCATTATTGGGCCTGAATTTCTGGGATAAAGCCAGGGGATTTTCTTTTAATAAACTCACCAAGTGATTATGATACAAGAGGTCTGCAGACTACACTGTCCCAGAAGCTCTAAGATGACTGGTAACATCCCAGAACCCTCATGTACTTAAGTTAGCTCTGTTCATTACCAAGTAAGCCTGGTATTTATATGTTGTCCCTCAAACTCTTCCCAGTTTAATGGACTATTGACTATTAATCCCTATGATTAGGTCTGCTACTTTTAGTAAAACCAAAAAGACCCCTGTGTTCCAAAGGTCGGCTAAATTCAGGTGGGAGTATTCCCCAATAGTGGTTCTATCAAATTCAATGAGAATATTAAATAATGCTTTGAGTGGTGTCCTCTTCCTATTAGTATCAGTAAACTAAAGAGGGCCAACCAAGTCATTCTTGATGGGTACAGAACTAGGGGCTGCAAACTCAAAAGGCTTCACCAAGTAAGAAAAATGTGTGATGTGAGCTGAAAATAAAGCTCATTTTAAGTATAAAGAACCTAAATTACAGGTCTCCATTTAAGGAGCCTACAGTCTAGTTCTGAAGAAAAGTAACTGTGGAAAGAAAGAACGCTTAAGGAAGGATACACCCAACTAGCAGCCTAAGACAGTTTGGAGGGTTCAGGGAAGACTTCATAGATAAGCCACAAGTTAAGGGACCTTTGAAGGACTGGAAGGACTTCAACAGCAATGAGGAGAGAAGACAGTAGGGAAAGGCCTAAGTAAAATGCAGAAAATAGTTCAGAAGCGAGTAGGCTTGTGTTGGGCAGCAGTGGGAACAAGGCTGGAAGGTAAACCTGGGTCATTCCACAGAGACCTACGGCTGCAGCGTGGCTAAAAGGAGGCAGAAATGTTTGGAAGCAGAGTAAGATGGAAGCAGGGTTTCCTGAAGATGGAATTGGCAGTAGTGACTGGGCAATTAAAAAGACATTTCAGTAGTTTCAAATTGAGGCAGTTGGGGCCCGGATTAGTGCCCTGCCTGGGAACTATAATGAAGACAGAAAAGACAACGTAAAAGGAAGAGTACTCAAAAATTGTTGAATTTGGAAGGTGAATGGGAAATACTGAAAAGAAATCAGAAGAGACAGTGATTTGGGATCACAAAAACCTTTAGGCTAAAGGACATAGAGCTAAAACATATATATTTTTTTCTTTTTACCTTCACCAGAAATCTCTCTCCATGGATTTGGTGGGTACATAAATGCAGCATTTTGGATTTGGTCATTGATATCTTCATCTTCATTAAAAGGAAATGTGCCACTGAGACTCACATAGACGATAACTCCCACTGACCACATATCTAGAGAACGGTTGTAGCCTTTGCTCCTGAGAACTTCAGGGGCTAAGTACGCTGGAGTTCCTACCACAGATCTCCTGAATGACTTTTCACCAATGATACGTGCAAAACCAAAGTCACACAGTTTCACCTGGAAATTAAAGGATGATGTTAATTTATAGTTTTTTTAAAATCCATTTATATATACACATTTGTCCCTAAATATGATACTGTATCATTTCAACACACTTGCCAACTGTATTGAGTACGAACGTTAAATGAATATAGATAGGGAAATTATAAAAGGCCCTTTTCCGAAAAAGATGATACATTTATAACCCTGTGATCACTGCTAACATAGTATGAAGAGCTTTGCTAGTGCTCATTTCAAATAACCACTTTTGAATTCTAGCTTCCAGAATGCCAAATACCAGACTGGTGCTGTCAGTGTCTTTTGATGAAATGGAGAGTACTGATCTTTTATCATCTGGCTTTTAAGGAGATCACTTCCTATCATCTGTAAGTAGGAATTTTATGTTTCATTTTTAAATCTTCAGTGGCCTCACAGTAGCTGGATAAAGATAATAAATGTGTGCTGAATGAAAAAGTTACAGTATTTTAAAACTTACCCTTTATTTTGCTTAATTCTTGAATCTCTTTCCCAAGAATACTGTAAATCAGCAAGTAAACAAAATTGAGGTATATTAAAGGCAACTATTAGTGGGGCCAGCAGAAGAGTAGTATCAGAGACTGCTTGAAAGAGTAAGAGTAACTGTTTTCTGTGACTATGGAACACATTATCGCTAGTTAGGTGTTTAGATTTTTAAAAAGTTGTATCTGAAGGTAGCTGCAGTCACTACCATGCCCTTTTGGGGAAAGAGTTCCGGAAATTTGAGATTGGCAGAGCTCAGAATACTTATCTTGCTGCCTGTCTTCTAAAAGAGGTTCAGATTTTGGTGATTAATGATGCATCCATGCTGAACAAGCAAATGCCAAGTCCTTTCCGGGTGAAATGCCTTGGTTCACAAAATATCTTCACTAAGAGAACTAAGATAAACTGAGAGAAAAGAGATTTGGGCCTCTACAAACCAGCAGTACAGTGACTGGAGAGCAAAGATGAGTATATTCAAATGCTGCTTGCTACTTCTGGGAGATGGACTCTCATGTTTTTAAGATGATTTGTTCTGTCATTACTGAATGTGGCTACTTCTCTAATTGAGTATTTGAAGAACGGGATTATTGACCATGAAGAAATGTGAAATCTCTCTCTTTCTTTTTTCCATTAAGTGCAATATTTCAGCTAAATTTTGATAAAGTAAAAATGACTTGGCAGTTTGGCAACTGAATAGAGTGACCATAGCTAGCACTTGAGCAAAAAAAGTATCAAGTAAATGACATTATTTTCCCTTTGTTCCTAACAGAGGTAAGAAAGCTGGAGCTTTAGCCTGAGCTGTAGGGGTGTGAATCCTTTGCCCATACTCTTTTTAAGATCAAATATTGGAAGTACTTTATTTAAAATATTACACCAATTATTAGAGCACCTTTTGAACTCACATAGATAGTGGAATTACTTTAAATCACACAGGTATTATAGAAGAAATATGATTACTTTCTTGAAAACAAGAGTTGAATAATTAAAAAAATGTATCTTTTTCTTTGAAAGAATTTGAGTTATATATACCAAGTGAATTAGCCATCTGCTATCCTTACTCTAGCCTAATTGCACATGTTTTAAATGTACATAAACAAGTTTAGCAACAGATATTCTGGCTGACTGGACGATTCATCAATGACAATCATGGAAAACATTCATGGGTACTGCCAATGCATATACTCCTCAGGACAAATGTTTCAACCTTTGGGTTAAGAACCATTTTCAGTTATGAAATAAATCTGGATCAAGATTAACACTTCTAATGAAATGAAATTTGACCAAGTAAAAAACAAAATCAGTGCATCACAAATGGGAGAGACACACACAAACACATCATCATACGTATCTGAGCACGTGTGATGGGATGGGAAGTGGAATTCTTCCATAGGTTTTGGTGAAATGTCTGAAATATAGTACTCTAAAGAGGAAGAGGAGTTGGCTACCTGCCTCAACCAAAATCTGTCTCCCATTTCAGAGTTATCCCTCAGTTTGTTTGATTTCAAGGGGAATTTGTCCTGAGCACCAAGCACCAACTACAGTTGATTCTTTCCACTTCATTCCCCTCCCACAGGGAGAGGTGAACTACACACTCGAAGTGCAAGAAATCATTCCTTGAGAAACTGGTTAAGTATAAAAAGTATTAATGAAAATAAACAATTAGTAAAATCTGAATTCAAATTATTCAGGTATAAATCCTTACTGGCAATTACAGGCTAAACATCTTATTTCTTATAAGATGGTTATGTATTTGAACCTATAGCACTGCCTTTAATTATGTGGGTACTTCGTAATGTTGTCAGATACTTAAAACAATACTTTAAAAAGTTTCTGAAGAGTACGTGTCTCACCTGAGGAAATGGCTCTGCTGATGCAAGTAGCACATTTTCTGGCTTTAAATCACAGTGCACAATATTCTTAAAATGTAGATTCCTCAAAGCAACAAGTATCTGTTATTAAAAGGAAGAATTTTTTCAACACCTGGAAAAATCACAGCTAAATGCCTAAACTTCATCAAGATTTAGAAAGTGTTATTCTGTTTAAGGTTAAAAATTCCCACAATACCCCATTATGTAAAGGCACTGCTATTTAATTCTTTTAGTTTTAAATTACTTTCTAGTTTCAAAAAAATTTAAAATACCTGTGTGACCATGAATTTAGTAATTCGTTCTGGAAGTCGACTTTTCTCACTGGACAGAATCATTTCCAACATATCTCCATGCAGCTTTTCCATTACTACAAAAACTCGTTCTGGGGTTTCAAACATACATTCCAGGTTTACAATCCCAGGATGGTGCAAATTCTGAAGAGATGCAAGACATTTATGTGATCAACTTGAGTAAAGTTTTACTATGCAAATATCCAATAATGTGCTGCAATTAATTGTACGGGAAAATGGTACAGAAAGAAAAAACATCTTAGAAAAATAAACACAAGCAAACAAAACAAAAAGGATCATAGATTCTGATTTTCAAGTTCTGTACTGGAGAGTGGATGCAGTGAAGAGAAAGGATGTCTTCTCAGTCTGTGTAACTGTCCTGGTCCTTTACTACTTCTTTTCCTTCCTCCTCATCTTTCGAATCTTCTGATACTCCTCTAATTTTATGCTGTCCATGAACAGGCACCATTTGCCAATCAAAGCTCAGCTAACAACAGAGCTTTGGTTCTTTGGGGCTGTTTGTGAAGGTCTTTGCTCAACAGGTGGTGTAGTCTTAAAGGTAGCTATTTATCTGAGCCTTGATCCCACTGTATTACACCTTGATTTGGTCTTTCCTCTTTCAGATTTAGCATCTCTTTACCACTATCATCCCTTTTTCTTGAGCACTACTAGGTTACCAGGCTAGGAGAAATACAACGATAAATACAATACTGTTTCTGCTGCTAAAAAAGCAATCTATCTTACTGGTTTGAAAAAAAAAAAAAAAACCTTCCTCAAAAGCAAAGTTGAGAAGTCACCCATGCTCAAAAACATTCAATAGTTCTTTATTTCTGGACATAAATCTAAATTCCTCTGCTTGGATTTTAGTATCTTCAAAAAATCTGCTTTCATTCTCCTTATTCAATCTTAAACATTGGCCCAATGTTAAACTTTTCATCCTTATTAGTATGTTTTTTTCTTACTATGGGTATCTAATTACACCAAAAGGGCAAACTTTTTATGGCCTATGTGAAGTTGAGCTCTATCTCTAAAATGTGTTTTGAATACACCATCATCTCTCAATTCCCACTGTAATGTCTTAATTTCCCAGAGTAGTTGCCACTGCACTCCATGCGGCAGTACGTACCCCACAGTACTGTTCTGTGTGTCTGTGTATCTCACTGTAGCCTGGGAAGTTCCCTGAGAGAAGAGACTGTGTCTCAGACATTTTTTAGCTCAATATCTGAATCACAGTTAGTGTTTAAAAAAAAGTTTAGAAAATGAATAGCAAGCATAAAATTAATACTGTTTACTAATCAGCTTAAAACAACTTAATGACATGGTGTTCCAAGTAGTAAAATAAAGTCACAATTTTACAGTAGATAAAGTTAAAAAAATACCCCACGGCGATGGTGTCCTGTTTCCTCCCCCTCCTCCATCCTTAAAAACCATACATGCACGTCCTACTTCCTCCAGAGTCTGTTTTGGTAAATTAAACTTTCATAAAGAATTAATCATTTTCTCCAGGTTTTCAAGTATATCTAATAGAGGTGCACAAGATTCTAGCTTAAGATTCCCTTAATTTTTTTTTTTACTTGTGATCATCTCAAAATGTTTTTACAATTTCTTATATTTTAATTATTTATTTCATTGTTATCCCACTCCCCCAGCAAACCAGTTTTTGGATTTACTGTATTAAATTTATTAATTTCCACTTTTATCTTCATCAATCCCTTCTGACTTCCTTAGGTTGACTGTTTATCCTGCAACTGCTTGAGCTGGATTCTTAATTCATTTATTTTCATTGTTTCTTGATTAAATATTTGAGGTTATCAAGTTTTCTTGGAGCAGTTGCCCAAAAGCTGTAATATACAGTATTTTCACTGCTATTTTCTGAATACTCTGATCTTTACTTTGCTCTCTGGTTCAAGAATTAAAACCTTAAAAATTTTTTTATCAGGTTGTGGGAGTTTTTAATTTCTGATTTTATAATTTATTTCTAGTTTTACTGCATTAAGATCAAAGACTACTGTTTATACTACTGTATTTTTGAATTTATGAGGTATTTATTCTTTGCTTTTAGGGTACAGAGTTCAATATAAAATGGTTAGATCTACCTTAAACTTTTTAGGCCCCCTATGTTCTTACTTAATTTTAGCTCCTTCATCTGTCATGGGCTATTGTTGTGCTTGTCTGTTCCTTCCTGTATCACCTCTAGTTTTCCTCAATAAATGTTGATGGTATCATTTGGTTTAGTGTGACTTGCACTCTTCCACTGTAGGAGTGTCCTTCTTCAACTCACTTCATGTTTTCTCTTGAATTAAATCTTATTAGATCATGACTCCCTTGGCTGTCCTCTATTTGAGAGGAACCTAGAGAGGATATCACAACTGTAAATTCCAAGAAAGAGCCAGCAAAACAGAGCTTACTTAGTTGTGCTGCCTCTTCCTACATGCACCCCCTACTCCATCCCCACTGTTTTTGGAAAAACTTCTACCTATTTTGTAGGTCTAAATTCTCTTCTGTTTTTATTAAAGATAGAGTATGCTTTTCTGTTTATCATTTTTTTCTTGTAGCTTTTGAGTGACTTCCAAGACAAGGGAAAAATACTGAATTTATACAACAATATTCAAACTAGAAATTTTGCTCTAAAGTTTCTGAGAACATTTTCCCATTTACAGAGGGAGCCATGAGAGCACACCTTTTCTCCCACTACTCTACTACCCTCTTAAGGCAACAGTAAAAGAAACATTTTATGTTACTATATCCCTATAAAATAAGGTATCACCTTAACAAGTTATACAAATGGAGTCATTCTACATTTTGGGGGGGTAAAATTTAACAATATATTATAGATTATTCCCCACATAAATATATGTATTCAATAAGTATTAAATGAGTGACTTATGTGCCTAGTACCGTGCTATGAAGGTAGTGAAGATTCATCAGTAAAAACTGACAAATATCTCTTGTCTCATGAAGCTTATTAATTCTAGCAAATTGAGATAGACAACAGGTAACAAACTCGGAAATTACCTAGTACAGAGGTGGTAAGTGCTATGGAAAAAAGAAAAATAGAGTTAGGGTAAGGGAGTGCAGGGGTAAGGAGAGTGGGTTTAATGCTGAATAGAATGCAAAGGCCTTACTGAGGAAATGACATTAGGGCGGAATCTTGAAGGAGATAGGGAATATGCTGAGCAGATACCAGAGGTGGAAAGTATTCCATGCAGAGGGAACAGCTAATGCAAAGTGCCTGAGACAGGACCACATCTGGTATGCTTGAGGAACAGTAAGAAAGTCAGAGAGGCCATCATTTGGAAAAGAGAGCCAATTTATTGAGCATAATATCTGCAGTGGAACCTTTTCCGAGAGATTTGTGCTTAGCATAATAAGGAACAGTCACAGATGTCCAAAAATGTCCTCATTTCTGTTAAACTGACAGAAATACAGAGCCTATCACCAAGTGCTCAAGAGAGAGGCCGTTACGTTCCTGAGAAGCTTTAAGATTACTTCTTATTCTGTAATTTATCCTTCCTGTCACCAGAAAAGCCAAAGCTGTGATCTCAATAATACGCTTAGGCTTTACCCTATCCTTTCTCTATAAGGATGCAGACATGGGAAAGAAAAACTATAGACATCACAGAGCTGCAGGTGAAGATTACAGTACGAGGATCAACCACCAGGCTGGGTTCAGCCTGCCCTTTAGGTTTGTTTGGTAAGGACCATATAGAAGAATAACCAGGGCAAAGATGGGAAAGTAAAGATGATACAGCCGGAGGGGGAAGGAAGGGACCAAAGGGCAGGATGAATAAGTGTATGTCCGAGTATGGCTCCTGAGTAATGAGTTAATGAAATTTTAGGGGTATTTTTCAGTTTAAGATTTTATACTTGACCTTGGACAAAAGGCCGAGAAGTGTTTTTAGTTCAAGATTTTACTTAAGAAAATGTGTTCTAAACAAACTGCCACCATAATGGCAGTCCTTTTAATTCCTAGGTTACTGTAGCCTCATTTTGCCTTTTTAAAGAAAAAGGCTTACGGAGCTAATTCAGATGCTCACCAACCTCACTCTGGGCCAAAAGGTCATAAAACGAAAACAGGTCAAACAAAACACAAACCCTACTCTTAGCACATTAAACAGACTTGGATTCATTAAAACCAATACAAGGCAATTTATTTTTTTACCTGTAAAATAGCCACTTCATTACGGAGCTGACTTTCCTGTTTTGTGGGGAATCTCATCTTATCAATTACTTTAATAGCCACATCCCTTCCAGTCTTTCTGTGTTTTCCTATTAAAAAAACAAACAAAAAGAAAGAAGCAAACTGATATCCCACATACAACACAAAAGCTTTATCGGTTGTTCATAAACTAAAAGTGACATGTATTTACTCGTATTTCTTTTCTTTGGCTCATTTTGTTCTTTCTCCTTCACTCACCTTTAATTTTAAGAAATAAATTATGTTTTCCTTATAGTAGTTGCCCCTAATAAAGGCTTTCATTATTGGAAACAGCAGGAAATTTGAATGAATTTGTTTGCTGAAAAATAATCTACCGTATTAAAGAAATGATAGTTAAGTATGTGACAGTGTTCAGAAATTCTGTCAAGATAGAAACATTGTACCAATGAACTAATGTTATTCTAGGTTTACTGGATCAGCCCAGAGTGATTTAGCCACATATTAGAGCCATCCTTGAGGCAGAAAGGCCAACTAGGAGACTATCGTTAACAGTCTCAGCAAGGGATGATTAAGGTTTAATATTACTTTTCTTTTATACCTTGTATCACAGATTATAAAGTACTTTTATGTATATTAGGTTTAATATTAACAACCCTGTGAGCTAATAAGCAGGTCAAGTTTTATTAGCTCCATTTAACTGATGAAGACACTGAGGCACAGTAAGGTTAAATGACTTTGCCAGTGTAAGTCACGGAACTGGAAAGGTCTCAGGTCATCAGAGCTGACAGACACTCATGCCAACAGTGGACAAATGGTGCCATCTGTGTTGGAAAACCAGTAGGGTATATACTTCAATACACAAACTCATGCAGCCCAACAATTTATAAACTTCAAAGCATTTATTTTCCCGTACGAACATCTTTATGTGTCAGCTTCAAGAAAAGATGAAGACTAGAGCGAATTTTCTGATTTTTTTCTCTGTTACTTTCTAAAGTTTTCTGTTTAAATTAGGAATGATTACTCAGTTACAGTGAAAGGGCTTAGCTAACAGGATGCAGGCCAGCATTTGAGAAAAAGTCACTTGACAAAACTGTGACAAGACGTAACAGCTGGCAGATGGTTTTAAATTTCACAGTTTTTCTATATTATCTACAACATGCAAAAGGCTATAGCTGCTTACCTCCATAAACGATACCAAATTGGCCTGAACCAAGCACCTCATCTGCAAAGATCTGGTAAACAGTACTGATGTCCTATTTAGGAAAGAGCAAGCAGTTTTATTATCGCTATAAAATAGTATCAACACCTCTGACTATTTTTATTCCAATACTTAAATACATTTTTGTTTTTATGACTGAGGGAATTAATTTTCATAAAGTATTTTATGAAATATTGGCTATGTCCTAAAAAAGGCCAATTTTAATCCTATGACAATGTGCAACCATAATGTATTCCATAAGAAGACCTTTGGGGGGAAAATGCTTTAAATTAAAAAAAAAATCTTATATCTATTAAGTAGTGAGCTATAAAAAGTAAATTAACATAAAAATTAAGAACAAAATTTTATCTACTTTGCCACTAAAGAGATTTGCCATCCTCAATTTGAAAGAAAAACTCAAAGGTTCATACTATTGACTAACTTTGAAAGACTGATGAAAAGAGTATGTGTGAGAAAGTCTGCAGCCCAACAACATTTACCTGTTACAGAATGGTAACAGCGAGATGCCCCACGTGGAAGAGGAAGAGATATTTTTATCAGAGAAATTTACATATAGCTAATGAAAAACTTTCTGACTTCTTTTTCTAGCCTTTTTTTAAATAGTCCAGGGGTTGGCAAACTATCGCTTGTGGGCCAAATCCAACCTCCTGCCTCTTTTTGTACTGCTCCTGATTTAAGAACAGACTTTAAATTTTCAAATGGTTGAAAAAAAATCAAAATTATAACAGTATTTTGTGAAACATGAAAATTATATGAAATTCAAATGCAAGTGTTCACACATATTTTATTGGAAGACAGTCTTGCTCATTCCTTTATGTACTGCCTGTGGCTGCTTTCTCACTACAATGGCAGAGTTGAGTTAGTAACTGTATATGGTCTGCAAAGCCTAAAATATTTACCATCAATCCCTTTACAGAAAATATGCTGACCCCCTACTATAACCCTCTACATGTACCTAAATAAATCAGCTAAACTTAATCTATTCACTGTTCCTTAAAGGTCCTGCATTTCCTGTTTCTCTATACTTGCATGAGATGTTGTTCCCCTACCCTCATCCTCTCGGCACTTCTGTCAAGTCTTTTCCATCCTTTTAGACATGAAGTTTTACTTCCTTTAGGAAGCTTTCCCTGCTGACCCAGGAAGAAGGAGCCTAGTCCTCTTTGAATTAGCCTATCATGCTGTAATATCCTAATGTCACTTATGAAAACATTAACTTTATTTTCATAATTTAAAAGGAAACTGCCTCAGTTTTCTTCATAAAGCAGAACTCCTCAGGGAAGTTATCACCCACAGAGTCTAGCCTAGTATCTTTAGGCAAACTGCACAATACTTTGGGCTATATACTTACTTCTCTAATAAGATTTTCACATTTTATTTTCCTTAATCGCCAATTTGCGTATTTTAGCTCTAATTTTTACTTACCACATTCTCCTGGATCTGACAATTAGATACAGAGATACTGGTAGATAAATCTTCTGTAAAATATAAGAATGATGCATGAGAAAAAAACAAAAATGTCAGTATATAACTTAATAGTTACTGACACATGAATGCACACAGTATATTAAATTTTAAAAACTTACTAACATATAGTTAATATAATTCCATTCATTAAAACAAGATTTATCCACACACAATACTAATTCATCAACAGGAAACTGGGTGAATACAATATGATATGTCCATACAAAAGGATCCTACCTAAACATTAACGATGTACAGCTGTAAGTACTGAGTCAGAAAGCTATTTATGGTATTAGGAAGTTAAAAAGGCAAGTTGCAGGGTAGTGGCATTTGAATTAAAAAAATATACGATTACTTCTGGTGAGTGAGAGATGTAGGGTTGAAGAACAAAGATTTTAGTCTTTATATACTTTTAGATTGCTTGCATTTAAAAAAACATAAAAAAAGCATGCATTACTTTCATAATAAGAATTTAAAAATTAGATAAATCTATATACTGAAATATATCTGATATATATTAAATAACTGATAAAATCAAGTTGTAAAAAGATCACACATCTTTTACAACAACAAAAATGTATGAACCTTCTCAGAAGACCACATTTTTGTGTCTAAAAATAAAAAGACAGCAAAATAATACAGGTACTATAGCGTCCCCTTCCCCCAAGCCGTCCTCAAGTCAAGAAATACACACCAAATGGTCAACAATGGTCTTCTGAGAAGGGAGATATGATTGGAATAGTGGGGGGTGTCATATGTGTATAGGGAGGAATTCTCATTTTATGTCACATATTTCTATACAGGTTAAATGTCTGTACCACTTTGGCAAGCAAAGAAAGTAACTGACAAGAAAAAGAAAAAGGGGAAATATGGAAAGTAAGCAAGAGAACAGGTGTCAAACATCTAGAATCTCGGAGACAACTCAAGAAACAAGACACAACATTTCTTTTATAATCCCAAATATAAAAATGTAAAACTTCATTAACAAGGAAATACAAGCAGACTATACAACAAACATAAGTAAGACGACCTTCAAAGACTCCATTTTAAAATAGTAAGGCAATTTGAAAATATTTTAAATAATCCAAAAATTAAATATTAAAAAAACAAAAAAGGCACAGCATCAACAAAATTAATGAGTCTAAAATTCTGCTTTTCAGTAGTTCAGTTTCTTAGTTTAAGTCAGTATTTATTTTGTTTCAAAGGCCTCCGGTATCTAGCTCCATCTAGCTTTAACTTCTATTGCCTCCCAGAAGAATTCTGCTCCAGATAAGTTGTCACACGGACAGCAACAACACAGTAATAGTATCACTAATGTGTCAGGAACTGTGCTAAGTACATTACATGCATATACTGTTATTCCTCTATTAGGGTAGAGAACTGAAGAGGCCAAGATCATGCAGCTAGGAAGTGGCAGATCTGGGCTGTCATTCTCCAGAACGCTCACTCTTAGCCCTTCTGCAATCTGCCTTTAGAGACACTTAACCCTAGGGAAGAGGTCCATGGATGGATTTGAGAAGGTCCCTAAACCCAATTATACATAAAATTTGTGTGTTATGTGCTTGAATTATTTTCTGGAGAAAGGGGTCTGAGGTTTTAATTACAGTATCAGAGAGTTCTGTCTAAAATCCCCTCAAATTTAAGAAGCACTGTGAATATCCATCTATTTACCCTTTAAGAATCAATATTCAACACCAAACAGGTTCATGATCATTATCCTCATCCCTTTGATCACACTCATCTCCTCAAGTGACACTACCTCTCCACCCCTCCCACTCAGCTTTGCCTATCCTAGCCTACTTGAGATCCAAGGTGAAGTCTGAACCAGGTTCTTCTATCGTAAAGTTTCTGCTTACTGTTCCTGTCCGTATCTGAGTTCCGAGTAATGCAGCACTCGTTTTTGCACTCTACTGCTTTATGCTACCATCTACTTCCCTTAATAGCTTTTAAATTGCTGTATTTCTTTGGTATTCTAGCTCAAGGCCTAGCATAATGCCAAGAATAGGTGTACAAAGTAGCTCAGCCGAACTGAAATAAAGTGCATTTAGAAACTGGCTGATATCTATTTCAATTTAAATGTATTTGTCTAACGAGCGAATTATGGTTCCCCACAAACAACACAATGCCAGTGGGGGAAAGTGGCATTTTACTATGGCTTTCTGATTAAGTGTTCACTTGAACCTTTATGAAATTTAGGTTTTAGTTTATGAATTTTGTTGGTGCAAAGATCATGTGTTTCAAGGTTTTTGTGTGTGTGTGTTTTTGAATGTTTTAATTCAGTTGAAAGAAATACAGCATTTCTGACTTCATAGATTTCACGAATGTGATGTGAACTGTAACATTTTATAGCCTGACAATCTCACCATGAGGCAAAATACTAATGCTAGTAGTTTACTTAATCTAATGAGAGGTCATGGATGCCAAACACCTACAGGTCCTCTTTCACTTAATGCTGACAACCCTATACAGTAGGTACTAGTACAGAGAGGTAAATAAGGTACTTGCCTAAGATCACTTAACAAGTTGGCAGAGCTTAGATTTAAATGCAGGGAGACTGACTCTGGAGTCTAGCTCTGAGGATTGTATGTATACATTATAACCAACATAATTTTATAAAGGAATTAACTAATGGTATTGGTTACTAAAGATGAAGCTTAAAATGAGCATTAAAAATAAATACAGAAACACAACCACACTCATAAAATGCTTAAAGAAATAAAAGGGTAAAAAAGCCATCAACAAGCTTATTGCTTACTGTGATCTTTCCCTTGCCCTGGAGAAGTACAAACACTTGCTTGAGGGGTAACAGGCATGAGAGCTTGGCGAATTGCTTTTTCCCAGCTCTGTGCTACATCAAGTCCCACTCCAGTGGCAGCAAGAACAGGATTGTGAGAGCTGTCCCCATTGTTCTCACCAACAAAGTATACCATAGTATCAGTGATGATTTCAAAACAGTGTGGGTTGCTGCCTTGTGAAATGTTTGTGAAATCTTGTGGCGAAGATATGCGGAGAATTTCTGAAAGTGGAATTTCCTGAAGTAAAAAATTAAGCATTGGAAAATATGAATACATCTTTGTCTTTATCTTCAAATACACTAAAGAATCAAAGATACGCATTCCTAATAAATGCCATGAAGGCACACACAAGTATGCAGCATAAAGAATGCAGTCAAGTCTTATGACAATATCTGCGTGTCCAGCAACGCCAGAGGCAGAGCATGGGGTGTAAACCAAGGCAGTGATTCAGGCCTGTAGCAGGTCGTTACAACGCAAGGAAGGAGAGGATTTAGGAGGACAACTGCCACTATATCTAACACTCATCATTTTCCAATTGTCATTAAACCAACTCAACAACTACTTCTCTAGGGGCTGCTGTCTGCAAGATACAATCCCAAAGCAGTACAAAGCAGGAACAGCAGCAAAAGAAGAATGCCATTGCAGATTGTTTAAGAATTCCATTCTGGTTCTGCCCATCATTTATGTTTAGTCCACTTCTTAAGGCAAAAAACTTATTTATAAAAACCCACCCAGGTCAAAGCAAGTCATCAGTTTCTATTTTCTTACTGATACAAACAATGACAATGTTGTTTGGTGGCAGTCCGTGACATGCAAAATGTGGAGCAAGCTGAGCAAAGAGGACTACGCAAGAGATGAAGAGCCAAAATATGACAACTAAGGTCTAAGGTAAGATGGAAGATAGGAGAAATACTATCACATATTGCCTCTTCTGGACAGAATAATCATGGGACTTTCTAAACAGTCTAATCTAAATCATAGTACAGGTGTCCCTCGGTATGCAAGGGGCACTGGTTCCAGGACACCCACAGATACCAAAATCCATGATGCTCAAGTCCCTTATATAAAACAGTGTAGGCATCCACAGATACAGAGGACGAACTGCATCCAGAAGGAAAGGAGCAGCAATCTGACAGGCAGGCCAAAA